AACTGTCTAAGACGGCCTTCCTTTGTCGAGGAATAAAGTGTCTGTATTAGGTCTACTTAGACAGGTGACCGTCTTATAAAGAGCCGTAATGTAAAAAGTACATGAGGGAGGAAATGGGAAATGGCCGTTTGTGCAGATGTTTGTCTTATACAGGTGGCCGTTACAGCAGGTTTGACAGTAGTTCTTGAGCATAATATATGCAACCGATGCCATAATTTACCAAACTACAATTTAAGAAACTACAATTTAAGAAAAAAAATATCTAAATTTCGGGCTTACGCCAAGGATTACCGCTGAACAGCTGGTCAACGATATGATATCTTGATATTTTTTTTCCTTTTGGTATTCCAGGACCATATTATTCCCAGAGCTTTCATTGAACCTATTGACTGGCGTGGTCTTTGGCTGTATTGTTCACCCTTCCCAGTGATGACTGAGGATGTTGCAAAATGTCACCTGAACCTTAACCTTTGAACTATAGAGTTGTATGGTATACATGCACGTACCTGTACATTGTTCTACTATGCTTTTTTGAGAATAGTTGCTGTGTACAAAACCGTTTTGATGATGAATAAAATTTGGACATGTGTTCTTAAACTTTGGGTTTTGTGATTTTTGTCTCCTCCCCCCCCCCCCCTGCATACCCCTATAAAGTCTTATTGGTGTTTTTGGTGTAGCGGAAAGCACTTTAAATTGCTCTTGTACTCAGGAGACCTGAGTTCGATTCCCGAATGGGGAAAATTTTTATGGATATCTTGATTTTTCTATTGGGATGTTGTAACTCGTATCTTTCTCACACAGTAACGTGTTGGTCCTAAAGGGTCTAAATTGTGGCGCTTGGGGCATAAAATAACCAACATTGAAAAAAAAAGGCTCTGGTTGCAATATAGGGCATAGTCCTGTCCCCGCGGTTTCTATGCAAAAAAAAAAATTCTTAAATTATGCAAACTGAGCTAAAAAATGTGAAATTATGCGATTCCGTTAATTTTAACAAAGAATAATAAAGGAAAAATAATCAGAAATTATGCAAAAAATTTTCAAATTTTGCTAAATTATGCGGGGTGCATAAAACCACGGGGACAGATATACGCTGGTGGTCGGAAGCTGCCTGTGGTAGATCCTGCTTTTGCGTGTTTCTGTCCATTGTTTCTGTAACCTTTTTATGTCTGTTTTATCTTTTCTCAGAGCTAATAACTGTGTCGACGTAATTTGTTTAATGCGGGGTGCCCACTTCGGATGGGATCATCGCCCGACTCGGTCGCCTCAAAAACAAACGTGTTTGTTTTCAGTTTCAGACGACCGAGTGGGGCTATCGGCCCGATCCAGCCGTAGTGGGCACCCCGTATAACCCAAACAGACAGACAGACATACAGACAGACATACATACATACAGACAGACAGACAGACAGACAGACAGACAGGCAAACGGACAGACGGACAGACAAATAAGTTATATCTAAGATGAGCAGGTTAGGTGCGTGTCTTGCAGAAAAAACACGTTGTGAATATGATGCCCGTTCTGTAGGAAAGAGTCTACTTCACCCTGCATGAGTTCACTGTTAGCTCATTTTTATGGCATCGTTGTGAAATCAGGCGCTCACCAAAATAATGAAATCAGAGAAATTGGCGTTTTTCTGACGTTTGGGAACTGTTTTTCTAATTTTCTTTTCTTTTTTTTTTTGTGGCTCAACACCTTTTATATCCATTAAAAAATATATTCCTGTGTGGATTTTACTGAAAAACATTGATTAAAAGCACAAAAAATGTAAATTTTCAGATTCCAGGGACTCTTGAGCTGTTGAAATTACAAAACTTTGGAGGCCATTTCTTCGCAAATTTCACCTCTGAAACCAGGCGACCCTGGCCTTCTTCAATCCTAAATATTTAGTCTTCTATTCAACATAGATGGATATTCTTTCAACTAGGCCTAAAGCAAGGCAAATGAACAGGCTTTAAGATGATAACAATGCCAATAACTCCATAAATGCCAAAAAATTGACGAGCGCCCGATTCCACCACGTCGCAACACATTTGATATTCAGCTGGAGTCGGAGCGGATAGCCGTGGTTCGAATCCCCAACGGGGCCTTCTGAGCTAAGAAGAAGAAGAAGAAGAAGAAGAAGAAGAAGAAGAAGAAGAAGAAGAAGAAGACCACATCGCAGTGCCCAACAACCTATTCCTCTACATTCTGACACCACAAACACAAACAGTTTTTAAAAATCAAGACATCAAACAATACAAATTAGTATTAAAAACACATGCAGATGCTTTATTCATTGTCAAAATCGTTCTGAACCGTACACAACGAAAGCATAACATTAAAATATGCACAACATAACTCTATAATTAAAAAGATTACATTCAAGTGAAACGTTTCTGCTGCTAAGTCTCCAAGTCTCCAGTCTTCACTTGGAAAAGGGAACAGAACAGTTTAAAAAATACCCTAAAAGTTACCAGTCTATAGATTGAAAGATATGTGAACATGCTCCTGGAATACTGAAGACAAGAGTCAAGATACCATGTAACTGTGTACAATTCCATCCAATTGTTGTAGAATCCCAAACACATAATCACAAGAACATTTTGAAAACTGACAGAAATAATATGATTAATTTTCTTAATACATGTATTACTCAAGCTGAACGTTTCTCATACGTATGGAGATTACAATTTCCCCCGTCTTCAACAGTCCATAGGCTGCGGCATTGAGCCATATATAAATAAGCCGGTTAAAATAATATTGCACTTAAAAAATATTTTCATCTTCGTTTATTTATGGAAAATTTTCTTTCTTCTATGCCATCTCATTATATCAAGAAGTCGATAACGAAAAGAAGAGAAAAAGAAACCAATTATAATAAAAACGAATGTCAACTGTTAAAGTTATTCATAATAAGAACTGCCTCCTTGGCTCAGAAGTAGCTGAGATTCTACACGTAGTCTACTGGGTTACGTTCATGATGCTACAAGTAGACGTACAAAGTGTGGGGCTGTCATATTAAAGAACCCAACAACAGCAGAAAACTACCACATACAAGAACTTCGAAACTTTATTCTAAAAAGGAACACCCTCCTAGTTTTCTGGTACAGACCTCTCTGTGTTAGTTATGTAAGTTCAGTCAGCTGTCAGGCAGCGTTGATGCTGCTAAGTCTCCAATCTTTACTTGGAAAAGGGAACAGAACAGTTTTAAAAATACCTATACCCTAAAAGTTACCAGTCTATAGATTGAAAGATCTGTGAATATGCTCCTGGAATACTGAAGACAAAAGTCAGGATACCATGTAACTGTGTACAATTCCATCCAATTGTTGTAGAATTCCAAACTCATAATCACAAGAACATTGTGTAAACTGACAAAAATACTATCTTAGTTCATGTTTTACTCAAGTTGAAAGTTTCTCATACGTATGTAGACTACAATTTCACCTGTCTGTCTTCACAGTCTCAATAAGCTGTATCATTGTGACGCATAGTCATAGAGATGGATCAAAATGATAATACTAAAACTTTTAAGACATCTTTTCATCTTCTTTTTTATGGAAAGCTTTCTTTCTTCTACGCCGTCTCATTATCTTCTGAAGTCGATGGCCAAGAGAAGAGACAAAAAACCTAACACATAAAAATAAGAACCAAATGTCAACTTTTAACATTATTTACAATAAAAACTGCCTCTTTGTCTTAGAAGTAGCTGAGATTCTACACGTAGTCTACTGGGTTACGTTCATGATCCTACAAGTAGGCGTACAAAGTGTGGGGCTGTCATATTAAAGAACACAACAACAGCAGAAAACTACCACACACAAGAACTTTGAAACATTATTTTAAAAAGGAACACCCTCATAGTTTTCTGGTACAGACGTCTATGTGTTAATTATAATATAAGCCCAGTCAGCTGTTTTCTCATCATTTCAGGCTTCAACTTATAAAAGTGATAATGAGTTATTTGTTAAAATCACCCTTTCACTTCTTTCCCCCCCCTAAATCAAGCTTTCCATTCAAGAATTATTATTATTATGTACATTTTCATTTGTCTTTCATTTAAAAAAATGCCCCTTCAAGAAACAGCCGTATCAAAATGATTTAAGGAATTTATAACTGTCCTTACAGCTCACGCAGTTGTTGGGTTGATTTGTTTTTTTAAAAGATACATTAGTATGCACAAGACGCTTACACAAACTGACTTTCAGAAAGAAAAGCATTTACAATTGCCAATTTGCGTTCAGTATTTTTTCGTTTTCTTTATGGAAGAGTTTTCAATTCTCCTGTCGCCATCTCATTGTCTTAGAAAGTCGAAGGCAACTAAGGGAGGAAAATAAAACTACCCCTGAAAAGAAATCCCTGTCTTGTGGGCATCAAGCCATATAATAACCTTCTCTCATGCTGCCTCATTGTCATCAATCATGTATAACCTTATTACAACAGAACGTCTTTGACTTATTTCCGCGTTGTCTGTTTCGCAAGCACAGATTTCTGATTATTACAAAAAGTTCACACTTTCGTCCCATTGCCCTTAATTTTCACATCCACAGCACAAGAATCTGGTACAAATAAAATCTTAGAATTCCTTATTGTCTGTATCATAATGGAATTCTTCAGTCTTTTCTAAGTCTGTGCAAGTCTGACGACAGTCCATGAACTCCTGACACATTGGCGATCATTGAGTCTGTTTCTCAAATACCGGTACGTTCACTTCGACATTTGTCTTCCTGCAACAATAGTTCACTTTTTATAAGGCCTATTAAAATTTTCCTCCATTTTAAAACTCACAGTTCCTGTCGTTTTCGTAGCCTACGTTTCTTTTCTCCAATTCTCCAAGGTTTATACAGTTCACACAAGCGTCTTCAAACTCCTGACACAGTAGCGAAAGAGTCCGTTTCTTAAATGGGACCTACATCTCAGTCGAAGTTGGTCTCCTTAATAATTATAACTATTTCACTTATTTATCTTCTAATTCCAAACTCGTCGTGTCTTGTACCCATTGTAAAGACATCTAGGATCATCATTTCTTTCTGTTCATCTGTTTCTTCACCAAAGCTTTCCGTCGGAGTTCCTCCTGCTCCATCCTCATGTCCTCTAAGTCTTCCATACGTCCCAGCTTGGCGCTACGTGTCTCCTCCTTCATCACAGTGCGGAAATCTGACTCCATACACGACAGGTAATCGTCTCTCTCGTTCTTGAATCTGGGAGAAAAAAAATAAAAAGAGAAATTATATCAAAATGTTTTGACAATATTCAAACGCGCTGAAATATGAAACAACTATTAATCCACGTAAGCCATGGTTGCTTTAAACATTTTTAATTTTTGAAAATTATCTTCTAAAGTATTTTACCACCATTCTATGCACTTAAGCCCCCCCCC